ACAGACAATAGTAGTAATAAATTGTTTGTTAAACATCATCAAAACAAGAAGGCCAACAAGCTGAACACCATTGAACGCGAGGGTCACTCGCGTTTAGCTTGTTGCATGCTTGGAAACGCGGGGGTCAGTGTTGGTTGAACCCCTATGAACGCGAGGGTCGCTCACGTTTGGCTTGTGCCTTGGAGACGTCGCCTTCATTTCCAACTTGGTGACGCGGGGATGACATCCGCGTTTCAGAAGGAGCTTTTTGACTTGTAGCTTCTTCTGTGAAGCGTTGCGAGGACCGTTGTTCAGTAATCCTGGCTTTAGCTGTTGTGGAGTGTGAAAGTCATCAGATTGTAACTTTCACTGTAGATTGTGAAGACTGCTGGATAGAGTTTTCATCCGTTGTCGGAAGTGTCGTTGAATTGTAACTCCTCTCGATCTATGTGAAAATCCCTCTATTCGCAACTTTCGTTCACCGACCCGAAAGCTATTTGATGGTAGCTTTCGTTGTAGGAGCTAGACGGGAATCAACATCCATAGTGTCTCAAAGATGAATATTTGCCCATAGCTCTCTACCAAGCAACTATTTGATTGTATATTTCGATTATCGGCGCGAAAGCTATTTGATTATAGCTTTCGTTGTGAGAGATTGACGGGAATCAACATCCATAGTGTCTTGAAGACGAATATTTGCCCACAGCTCTCTACCAGGCAACTCACCAACTAAGTCCAGCCTTTTATTTCTGAAATCATCCCACTACTCATCAGCATCTCTAATAGTTGTTAATATAATATTAGTGTTGTTGTCGCAGCCATCAAGATCAATCGTCTCAGAAGTGAGGTCGTGTTTGTGGCGATTGTGGAGTTGCGGATGCAGTGATTGGGAAGTCGTCTGATTGTGACCTCCATTGTCGGAGCTTGTTTGGATAAGCTATCTATTGTGATTTTTAGACAGCCTACAGTTACGTTACCACTTCATACGCTCGATGATTGAGGACGGGAAGTTACAGTTAGAGAAGATTTTGGGGAGCCAAAATCCTGCAGATATGTTAACTAAGGTAGTCACCATTCAAAAACTGGAGTTGTGCGCAACTTCAGTTGGCCTTCATATGTAAGAGATGAGGGCGGAGCCACACAGAAGAAAATGCTTGTTAAGAGAGAGCTTGCTGATAGCGGTATGGTCTCCAAGTGGGAGATTGTTGGAAATGAGTGTAGCCCCTTACCTTATCAGCGACGAACGAGGCGAGCTTCAGTGAAATTGAGTTGGAGAAGGCTCGGGCGGATCTCGAACAGGCGAGGGAGATGCCCTGTTGGCGAGATCGATGGACTTCGAGTGAGGTCCAATCGGCGAACTCGAGCGAGAAGAGCTTCAGGCGAGTTTTTCGAGCGGTCCTCGAACAGGCGGATTTGAGCGGCTGCTGAAGGCGGATTCGAGACCCCTCCCCCTTGCAGGCGAGATGGTTGCAGACGGATTTGAGCTCGAACATGTGTGGAGATCGCCTGTGTGTGAAGAGGGACTCTCGCCTGCTGCGGACGTTGGAGGCGAAGGTGAAATTTCGCCTGTGAGCTGTGTTGGATCCAGCTGGATCCCACTCCCTCTCAGCCCTAGGGTTCCCCTATTTAAAGGAACCAGAGCACGAGAAGCAGTTGCCCCGTTTTCTCTTCTTCTCATCTCATTTATTTTGGCGGCGGCCACTAAAGCAGAGCTTCAACGGAGAATTTTTTCAGAGGAAAAATCTCCTGTTTCCTGTAGCGTTTTATTGAGGAGAGAGAGAGAGAGGAGATTTTACTGTTGTAAAATCTCGCGCCTTTTATTTGAACAACAGAGAGTTTCTGTTTGGCTCTTCTTTTGAGAGATCTCAAGTTTGAGATCTACTCCTTTACAAGCTTTGTAATCTTCTTTAATATAAAAGAAATTATTTGTGTGGCTCCCGAGGACGTAGGCAAGTTGTCGAACCTTGTTAAAATTCGGTGTTCTCTGTTCTTGCAATTATTTTTGATTTGTAGTGATTTCTTTTTTCCATTGCTTAACACAAGATCCGGTAGGGCAAATTCCGCAGAACGGGTGTCGGAGCGTATCTGATATTTCCCCAACACATTTGTCTGGTAACTTGAATCCCAACATGAACATGAACAAATTAACGTGGCATCAAAATAATGTCGTGGATTCGTGGCAACATTTTATGCCAACTTTACGTCCCGAGCAGGAAAAAAATCCAAACCCAATTCTTGTGAGGCCATTTTCTATGGCAACTTTCGCGCCCTCATCCAGCAGATAAAAGTGGCATCGTCGCAGCAATCGTGCTATACTTGTGACTCTTCGGGTGGATCTTTACACAATTTCTGCAAACTGTACCCTAACAATGGAAATGCAAGAACATGAAGCTTGTCTTTAGCAAGCAGAAGGTTTAATGCCAAGACAAATAAAGGATAGCTGTATCCTGTAAATTGATCAGACCTGACCCGGACAAGAATGCTTGCTCCTCTTGGCCATCCACTGCTGATAAGGGAGCCAAGTGTGCTCACCACAAGTTGTTATAGACGTATTTAGTGGGGAGATTTATGAACAAAGTTTTAAGGGTCGATGTTTTTGAGTTATGTGTGTGTTATCTGAGGATGTGTGGTACTTCAACTTCCACCGGAACAAGGGTTTGATGGAGCTCGTTATTAGAAACTGAACACACCGTGTCGTCCCTTATACCAAATGATTGACAACTTGTTGTCCACCATGAGATTTTAGAGTACTGTCGGATTAAGGCAATATCTTTTAGGCTTTATGGCATGAAATTTTGCTGCAACAGGAATTTGGGTGAAGGGTTGCCATCTTCGTGATGGATGATCGTTGTTAGATTATGAAAATATAATCCTCGGCCCTCATCACATCTTTAAAGTTATGGTATGCTGACAGGGACTTTTGACATGGTATCAAAGCAACCTAAGTTCTTTAGCTCCTAAAAGATTTCAGCCATTTATCTAGTAAGGTCAAGTCATGATTAGCATGTTGAGAATTATATTTTTATACTCCTGAAACCTGGACTCTGGCAAGGTATCATTTTTTTCTAAAAATCAGCATTAAATTCGTGGCCAGTGGAACTCAAACCTGAGTTGTTTTGGTATCGTCTTAAGTTAAGTCCATCTAAGCATTACACAAAGCTCCAAAGTTATGATGAGAGTTGAGAATTATATTTTTATATTTTAACTCATGGATCAAATTCTGCACCAATTTGATTGATTCATTGAGATAAAACTAGAAGGAGCTAAACCGGTGATTAGAGATGTCAGTAGTTCAAGGCAAATCGTAGACCTATATATTTATCCACCTACTCATCCCGAAGGAGAACGGGAAGAATGAAACTTATTAATTCATCAAGTATGTTCTTGACAATTTCACTTGGTCATATGTAGTTGATTCCGTTTATGAACTTGAAGATACAATACAATTTTGTTTTGATTAACTCAGATTATCAAACTTCATTAATACATATTATTAGCCCAACGCTACAAGAGATCTAATCAAACTTTATCCATTAATGAACTAGGACTCCTAGCTTCATTGATATTAAACCTCATAGGAAATTTGATGTTACAGGTTAGGCTCTGAGCTTCAATTCAGGACACTGGGCTTGTACTTAATTCGTGTGTGTGGAAGCGCACATTTGGCTATACACCAGCATATACGCATACATGTGTGTGTATGACTTGATTGGACAAAACCAAAGTGATCCTTGCAAGATCGAAAGTCAATCAAGTGAACCGAAGTTTTTCTCTGATACAACTTGGGAGAACTCATGACAAGGCAAAATTTAGATTTCGTTGTAAAGTAAATACATGTCTCATCCACAAACTGAGAGAGACAAAGCGTGTTCATGACATGAAAGTTCGGTCCACAGATTTTTTGTGATATTTCAGAAGCTTATCAGGATATTTCAGTCATAGCCTAATCACATGCATTGGTACCAATCGAAAAAGCTGGTTCGCTATTCAAATTTCGACAAAGCTCTGTGCTTAGTTCTACACATACAAAATGCATTTCTAGAAGGGAAAAATTCTCAACTAATCATTTTTTATGTGAAGCTCCTGTCACCACATCTCCCTGTTGGCAATATTTGTAAATAAAGCCTTTTAATGGTTATCTCGTAGTTTCTTTTAAACATTATCTTCAACTACAGCCACACGATACGATCATGGCTTACTAACTTCCAGATGTCGATCTGTGGACTCATACATACCCTGCCTGAAACTTGCAGATAACGCTCAAATATCTGTTTTCTTACTGTATTCCCAGCGGTAAGTACTTCTTAAATTAGTATAATTTTGTAGATATCCCCATCTGAAGCCTTCTGAAGATTTCACATCGTGAGCCAGAAGAATATCAGTCAGAGTCTTTCATGCATCCAATTGATAAATTAGATATAGATCTTCCCTTTTAGTATTATTATCCACTATCAGTTATATGTCAGAAATTACAGGAGTACTAAAGCCAGAATAGAATTTTGAATGACAGAAACCTTTAACTGTTTATTTATGTCTGAAACTCATTCTTCAGACTCAGTGAGTAATTTTATCGGTATCTACAGATTATTTGAAGATGTTTATGTTGGTGCTGATGCTTCATGACTGTTAACTTTCATACAAGGGTTAATTTCAGATGGACCCTTGCCAAATGGCTGATATACCTCCTGTATGTTCTATTGTTGCAAATAGGACCCTCAGTGAAACTTTTTTTACTCTCACCCTCAGAGAAAGAGAAATTTGCTTTTTGACATGTAGATCTTCTGAGGGTAATAGAGTCAAAAAAAAATTTCACTCGTCTTGTCTTCTACAACAACAGAACTACTGTGTGATAGGACAGGGGCTTATCCCTATACAGATGATACTATTAGTTAGTAACATGCTTAATATTTCTTATCTAGAGATGAAAGCCCATCAGAGATCCCTAATGCATCATTAACCTTTATCTGCAATACACACTAAGATCAAAAGAAATGAACAAACAAATAAAAAGCAAACAAAAAGAAAAAAAAGCAGCTGGTCCTTCTCTTATTGTCTTTATACTACTTAAAACAATGATACAAACTTATTTTCCCACATACTAAAAAAAAGAAGAAAGATTATCCTCATAGAAAATTTTATTTCAGATTACTCTCACACAAAACATCTTATCTCATCCCTTACTTCATACTAAAATAGTTAACAACAAACATCTTAAGATGTCAAAAAACAACTAAGTAAATAATATTCAACCATGTATGAGGCCACCTGATAGAGCCATTAACAAGATAGCAGCATCTTTTTCTTCTTGAGGAAAAGTTTGATGAAAAGCTAACTTGTTCCGCAAACTCATTGCAATGTCATCAAATTGAATTTTCTTTTGAGAAGAAGCTGGGGTCACAATCTTAAATCTCTTTTTAAAAGGAACGGTTCGATCCACATCTGATCTCTTCTCCTCCTCTTTCTGAATCTTGCATTCAGCAGTGTTGATGAGACTGTTGCTTAATCCTGCTGCTGCTCTCATTGCTCGCCTCGCTTTCATTTGCCTTATCCCACAAGCATTACAAAGAGACTGCAAAAATGAAGTTCTTTTATTGGTTAAATTTTTTCAAAGTACAATATTATAACTCTCAGCTCTTACGACTTTAGAGTTTTGGTGTACTGATGGAGATTTTAAGATGATATCACAGCAATCTAAGATCAAATCTTAGTCATAAATTTCTCAAGCAGATTGGAAAAAAAAGATATCGGCCTGTGAGTCTAGGCTTTGGCTCAGGGTATAAAATTATAACAATCACGTCAACTTTGGAGTTTTGGTGCAAAGGCAAGGACTTCAAGAACATATGATATTCTCTAATATATTACGATCATGAATTTAATTTCTCACCTTGGGGCCTTGAGGGCCACTTCTCCATAGAGGGGTCTTTGTAGTTTTGCAACTAGAGCATACCCTGATGATTTCATTGGATGAAATGTTGCTGCTGCGGCTTGCTTGATTAAGCTGTGTTTGATCTTGGAGAGATTGTGATCTTCTTTGTTTGTTAGTGAGAATTTGATCTGTGCCTAGCATTTTTTTCATTAATCGCATCTTCGAGGACATCCACTTAGTTGATCCCTGTGCATGCTCATCTTCAATTTGCTGATTATGGTTACTGGTAGTTTGATTGAGTGCAGAATGACTGCTCGGTCCTCCAACTGACATGAGATCATTTGTCTGCAAACCAAACTAAGAACTCATAAAGTTTAAAAAAAATGTTGCATAGTTTTTTTTCGTGCAATATCATAACTTAACATGCAGTAGCTACCTCTTGATGATGATGATGATGAAGCAAATGATTTTCTTCTTGATCTTGACGAGGATTAAGTCGAAATGGACATGAGAATGATGAAGTATCGGCTGATATAGTAGAAGGAGGGAAATGGTTTTGATTCTGATAATTTTCCTCCATGGAGATCATGAGGAGAGAGAGAGAGAGAGAGAGAGAGAGAGAGAGAGAGAGAGAGAGAGAGAGAGAGAGAGGGGGGGGATGGAGATCATGAGGAGAGAGAGAGAGAGAGAGAGAGAGAGAGAGAGGGGAGGGAGGGAGTGAGAGAGAGTATTATATATAGAAATGCTTATAGAGATTTGAAGGTAAAAAGCTAACTAACAAACAAAGGCCATATATATAAATAAGAATGCTAGGGGTAATGAAATGACTGAGGATAAGGGAAATCTAAGATGAGAAAGGCAAGAAGAGCAATCGCATGACTCCCCTCTTACAAGTTGAGAGAGACATCACATAGCATAAAAAGCTTTGGTCATAAAAGCGATCCCCACAACATTCCAAGAATTCAGAAGGGCCCCTATCTAACAAAATCCTGAATTACTGCAAGAATTAAAAGATGTTGGAGGTGGAGATTTTGCATGGAGGCATTCCAAAAATCCCAAAGTTAGGACAAATTTTCAAAACCGACCACTTTGGGATTTTAATTGCAAAAAACGACCCATTTCAATCTTATTTATAAAAACCGACCCAGTTGGTTGAAACTGGGTCGGTTTTTAAAAAAAAATTTCCCAAACTTCACGGGAGTTCAACTCCCGTGAAGTTTTGTTATGAGAAAAACTTCACGGGAGTTCAACTCCCGTGAAGTTTCCCAAAAAAAATTACAAAAACCGACCTGTTTTCAGCCCCTGGCTGAAAACAGGTCGGTTTTTGTAAATATTTTCAAAACCGGTCGTTTTTTGCAATTAAAAACCCAAAAGGGTCGGTTTTGAAAATTTGTCCCCCAAAGTTATAGAAGATTGCTAGCTCTTTGACACTCGTACCAAAACTCTAAAGTAGTATCGAGGGTTGAGGGATAAAATTTTATACTCTAACATGTCATTGCATGTTGAGTGCACGTTTTATGGGCTCAAGTATGGATTCAAGTAGCTGTTGGATATTTTTGGTCAAAACCGCTTTCCAAAAATGATTTTTTAAACTATGTTTGTATTAACTACTGATAGTTTTAGAAATCCTCAGTAGCGTAACGGAAAGTTAAAGTTTTGATATCTCAAATGTCCTGTGTTCGAGGTTTGCCAACGACAAGCCGAGAATTATTTTTATTTAATTAATCTCTCATAAGTTCTCGTGGGCCGTAGGCAGTGGGCCGTGGGCTCGTGAGCAGTGGGCTAATGGGCCAGGCATTGGAACTAATCGGGCTGAGGCGCTAAGTGACGCTTTGTTAGGCGCACAGTCTGCTTCCTAGCATGCGGACGAGACTCGTGTTCGTATGAGGGTACGACCCTCACGTTCACAAGAGGAAACGCGACCCTAGCGTTCGCACGAGGCTGCACGCGACCCTCGTGTTGCGTAGGATTGCGACCCTCACGTTTAGACATTACTGCATGCAGTAGTTACAACATTTATGTTATTTACCGTTACTATTATAATTGTCATAATTGCTATTATGTTTGTAACGATCAAATTAAATGTGAGTGACTTTTGAGATGTGTTTGCGGTGAAAGTTGATGTTTTCATTGTTATCGAATCTATTACAACTTTAATCGTTACAATAAACTCGAATAAAATAAAAAGTTGATCTTTTTATAAGATCTCCTTACACAATGAAAATAAAATAATTTTACAACTTTGTCAAACAAACGCAGAGAGATCGTTTATCGATCTTCTGCTTACGTGGGTGTCTTTGCCTGTGCCGGGGTTTATCCGTGGACCACCGTCGATCAGATCTGATTGCTAAAAAATTGGGCAGAGCTTCGTCGATCCGCGAGGAGATCTAGAAACAGAAGCGCTTATCTCGACAACGGCGAGATAATTGCTCTTCTTAGAATTACCACAACGGGATAATACTAAGGATTGGATGCGGGTGATGTGAATCTGACGAATCTCTCTCTCTTTTACGTTGAAGAACTCGATCCGATCTCTCCTCCTCCTCTCTGAAATTCGTACACCTTCAGTCTTCAATCCGGCAGGGCTTCGCCTAATCTCTAAAATTCCAGATCTTAAAAAATGAGGGCCTGAGGCTTGTATTTATAGGCCCGGGGGAGTTTGGAGCGGTTAAAACCACCTAAAGGCCCAAATCTACGTTGGAGACACCCCAGGGTGTCTCCACTTGATCCGAGACACCCTAGGGTGTCTCCCCTTGATCCGAGACCCCCTGGGGTGTCTCGGTTTGGGCCGACACACCCTAGGGTGTCTCGGCCTTGGCCGAGACACCTTGGGGTGTCTCGCTTGGCCGAGACACCTCGAAGTGTTGAGACGCCGTTTTTTTGTATGTTTGTTCGTTTCCGTCGTAACTTCTTCGTCCGAACTCGGATTTGAGTGGTTCGAAGTGCGTTGGAAAGCCAACAAGGAGTTCTATCAGCTCCAATGGTTGGATCATCTGTAGAATGAATGAGACGCGAAGGGTATTGTTCTTTTTTGTAAACATCGTGGGGCTCCCGATTAGCCCGTACCTTCGTTATTCCGAAATTCTGTTAGTCCACGTAGTTCGTCGATTCACTTTAAGCATTCACCGATATCAATCGAACTCCTGTGAACCGGATAGTGACGTTCATCGTCGTTCCTTAACACTGAGCTGTTCGTGGAGACCTATAGGCAATTTTCGATGCCTACAAGATGGTCTTATAGGCCTACATATAGTGCCTCTTAGGGAGCTCTTGGATACAAGAGATAAAAAAAGAGATACGAAAAAACACACAAGTGCTTTGTGCTGTTATGCTGCTGCTGCAGAGTCTGAAAGCATGAAAGCTTTAGTCTGTGCTCGAAGGAACATAGCTCTTAAACAAAAGGTTTTTACAGATCGAAAGATCTTTGCCTGAACTGAAAGGTTATTGAACCGAAATATTTTAACAGATCGAGGAGATCTCTACCTGAACTGAAAGGTTTTAACAGACCGAGGAGATCTTTGCTTTGACCAAAAGGTTTTATAGATCAAGGAGATCTTAACAGTACTGGGTCGGTGCACACCAGAATAATGTACCGATGTTCCTGAAAGCAGTTTGGCCTTAGGATCCTTACATTGGAGTAGACCAAATATTGCTTTAAGCACATCGTTTCATAAACGCACAGCAGCTAAACTTGTAAAAAAGTTTTAAAATATAGCACTTCATCTCTCTAACAGATTTATCTGTTTTATTCCAGATTTAGCCACATACCCTAATAATCTTAAAATAATATTTCTGATCTATAATGGATCTTGCGAGAACGATTAGAGTGGACTGTCTCAAGTTAGAAAACTTTGACGGATCCAACTTTAACGCATGACGTCGAAAAGAAATTTTCGGGATGCAACTCCTAAAAATCTACTATGTCGTTTCTGAGAAGAAACCCAACTTTGAAGAAGATTCTGAGTCTGAAGCCTCTTGGGCTAAAAATGATCATTTCTGTAGGAGTTATTTCCTTAACTGTTTGGTTGATCATCTGGTAGATGCTTACACTAATAAGCCATCTGCAAAGGAAATCTGAATTGCTCTAGAGGATCAATACAAGGATGAGGAGAAGCTTTCCAAGTCTCATCTCATTGATAAGTTTCTGGATTTCAAATTCGAAGATGACATTGAGGCTTTGCCTCAAGTCAAAGAGCTTGAAAAGCTTGTTATGAAGCTGAAGAATGAAAATATCAATCTTTATTAAATTTTTATTTCTGGTGCAATTGTTAACAAGCTTCCTCCATCTTGGATGTCATTCTCCATGGACATTCAAAGAAGGAAAAGATATGTGATTCTGTCTGATCTGAAGAGGTTCATTTGGATCGAGGACGAGATTTGAACTCGTACGAAGAATGAGCTCCTTGCTAAGCAGAATGCGTCTGCTAACATGGTCGCTGCTAACTCTGAGAAGGGTACTAGTTCTTCTTTCAAGAAGAAGAAGTTATTTAATAAAAAGAAGAACCAAAACCCAAAGAATCTAAATGTTCAGAAGAAAGAGTTCAAGAAGTACTTCAACTGTGGGAAGCAATGACATTTTGCCAAGGACTGCAAAGTAGCAAAAAAGAGAATATCACACAATGTTAATCAAGTTGATAATTGTGTGGCTATGCTATTTCACGTGACAACTCCCAATAATATCTTTGGTTGGTGGTTAGACACATGTGCTACCTATCATATTTACTCCAACAGAGATTTGTTTTCTTCTTATGTTGCTACCAAAGAGAACATATTAATGACTGATCATTTTATAGTGCCTGTTCTTAGAATTGGGATTGTGGTGCTGACTCTCTCTTTAGGGAAGACTCTCACATTGAAGGATGTGAAACATGTTTCCTCAATTGCTAAAAACTTAGTCTCTAAAAGCCTGCTATGTGTCGCAGGTATGAGGCTGGATTTCCAAGGAGGAAAGACTGTACTATCTTTTAAGAAAATGTATTTTGAAAATGCATATCATACTAATGGCATGTATAAGATTAATATTATCGTACCCAATTTAGTTGTTAATGAAATATCATCTTCTGCTAACTCCTCTGTGTTATGACATAATAGACTGGGACATGTAAATTATAAAAAACTATCTAGCATGGAGAAGTTAGGATTACTTTCAAAATGTGGGGGTAACAAACCTGAGAAGTGTGAAGTCTGTGCGTAAAAAAACTGACAAGGAAGCCCTTTCAAAGTGTCACAAAGAGCACCAACCTGTAGGGTCTAATTCACTCAGATACTTGTGACTTCAAGAATTTCATCACTTGAGGCGGCATTAAATACTTCATCACGTTCATTGATGATAATTCTCGCTTCTGCCACGTCTATCTGCTGAAATCTAAAGATGAAGCTTCAGCAAGTTTATCGAGTTTCGGACTCGTGTGGAGAAGCAGTTTGGACTTCAGGTGAAAAGACTCAGGAGCGATAAAGGAGGAGAGTACCGATCTAAGGAATCAGAAGCATACTTCAAGGAGCATGAAATCATTGTTGAAACTATTGCTCTGTATTCTCTGCAATTTAATAAAATTGTAGAAAAAAAGAATCGCACATTGACCGAGATAGTGAATTCGATGCTAATCACATCTGGTCTACTTACTTGCTATTGGAGAGAAGCTT